GAAAACCAACGAAGAAGATGAATATATCTTGGGACAAAGAGAAGAGTAATAGGAAGGAAGAAAGCCAACATGGTCTTTTCATTATATTTTATTAAGTTTTTTTTAATGATGATATAATTATTAATTAAATTTTGCTTATATCATCACTTTTTATACTGAAATTTTCACGTAATTAGTTTGAAGGTAAAAATAAACTTGTTCGTTAATTAATTGAAACGACACATACACGCAAACTTAAAGAAGGTATTAAAAAAGGCTGAACAAATAAACTTTAAAAGAAAAAAAAAAAAAGAAAGAAGAAGATTATTTCAATTGTAGGACGAAGAAAGCAAGTTTTATTTTATTTTATTTTATTTTAAGAAAAAGAATCCTGTCCTGAGAAGTTCATGGAAACTTCCTGTTTTCTCAGATACCAGAAATCTTCTATGTATATTTTCCCATCCAATGAAATCAAGATCATCATAAAAATGTATTGTCATTTAGATCGTCATTGGCAAGGTCATCATCCATGTCGACTCTAGCTATATATATATATATATATATGTGGTATGCTTAGACAATATATCCCGCGCATTTGATTTATTTTTGTTCCATTTTCTAAAATCGAGCCTTTGGGTTTTGCGTCGGTTCGTAGTGGTGGTGACGAAATAATGGATTCGCTTCTTGAACCGTCGCTGCTTGAAAATGGTGGACACTTGAAGGGATCCAGCAAGGAGGTGCGTAACATGTCGTCGTCGTCGTCGTCGTCGTCGTCGTTGCGGAAGAAGTCCGATCTCACACTTATTCAGAACGTCCGCTGCGGGATGCTCCGACAGCTGCTGACTAATCTCCAAGAGGTCATACTCGGAAGTAAGCTGTCCATTCTGTTTCCAGCTATTCCGTTGGCTGTCGTCGCCAAGTACCACGGATTCGGAAGAGTGAGTATTTTGTGTCTGTGCTTTTAAGGATTTCAATAAAATTAAAGCAAAAGGAGAGGGGACTGCAGCAGTCTGAATTACTACTCTTAAGGGTTTTAAATATCCAACAAAGGAAGGATTTATGAGAGTATAAGATAAAGTTTATAAAGAATTTCGTTTTGCTTCAAAATAATTATTTATCTCTTATAAATTTAAAATTATTTTTTAAAATAAAATTTAAGTAAGTTTTATCTTTTAAAGTGGGTTTTAAACTTATTTTGAAAATTTTTTAATATGTAATTTTTTTAAAAAAATACTTAAAATTTAGTTAAATAACTAATTTTATTATTTTTCCCTAATAAAAATTTAAACTTACTATAAATGAATAATACTTTTTAAAAGAAGTACTTTTTAAGCTTTCCTAAACATTCTCCATGTCTTATTCTAGTCATGCAATGAACAGAGAGGAATCCAATAAAACTTGGATCCTGTTCAGTAGATTGAGGAAAATGGAGGGGTACTCAATATTTATTGAGATTGTGTCCACGTATTCTTACATATAACATATCTGATATTAATTTTTTTGATTTCTCTCTACACAGACATGGATTTTTGGTTTGAGCTTGCTTGGACTCTCTGTACTGGCTGAACGTCTCAGCTTTCTTACAGAGTAAGACAGTTTTTCTCTGTTAGTTCATTCGACTAAATGATCATATACACACTCTTTTCGTTCTTGCCCAAGCTTCAACACAAAAGAGAAACATCAAGGAGCAGATGTGTCTCCTACCAATCTACAGCCCAACCCACAAAAGAAACAGATAATTTTCCATTAATCCATTCATCACATAGACTAGAAGTAAATTATTGGTTTTAAAATCTCGTCAAAATTCTGTTAACAAAAGTAATTGGGACATATATGGACAGGTAGAAAAACCAAATGAATTAATACTATTTTTTTTTTGAACAACAAAAAGTAATATTTATTAATAAGCGGAGTACAAGGGGTACCCCAAACCCATAACATCATACTTGACAGGTATCAAATAAAATGTTTTGGACGCCTGCCATTTAGTGTCGACCCCCAAAAAAAGTGTCAACACCACGTCCGTGTCGGAGTTTTGAATGCTGACCATATGGTGTCGACACCAAAAACACGTGTCGACACTAGACCCGTGTCGAGCTTCTGTCCTCTTTTGCAGTTTCTTCATAAATCACTGTTTAAGTCCACAACACCTTCCCATTTGTCAAATCCACTGGCACGCAAGTCATTAATCATGCATTGATTACAGCTTAAAAAACCCCATAGATCAAGATCAACACTACACTCAGTAAAATTCTCAATGAAGCCTTCCTGAACCATTTGTGACTTTCAAACAAACAATAGGATTAATTAGCCAATCAGTTAAACTGAAGGTATACCTGTCATTTGTTGCTTTAATCCATAGGAAGGATCTTAGTTGGATGAGTTCAAATAGTTTCCCCAGGTTTATCTCTTTATCCTGAAATATTTTCTGGTTTCGGGACAACCATATGGACCAAATACAGTATTCCATATACAGTCCCATCCTTCTTTAGTGTGTTTATTCTTGGTCCATGCTCCAAAGTTTTGAAGAGTGTTCCAGCAATCTGTTCCGAATGATATCTTAGCTCCCCACCATTTAGCACAAGCTTTCCATATCCAACGAGCACACTTGCAATTTAAAAATAAATGCCCAGCATTCTCATCGGCTTCTCC